GGGGGGGGGGGGGGGGGGGGGGGGAGACATGTGAATGTGACCGTGCTCCGAATGTATGGGCGTGATGTTGTTTGCGCTCAGAGGGGTGCTATATGTAGGTGTGTGCGCGAGCGCCCGAGGCCCACTTGTGTGCGTCGATGTGGTTGGCTTTCTGAAGAATTGCATGCTTTTTGGGACAGCAAAATTTAAGCTGCCACAAGTAGGGCAGCGGGAAGAGATTCAGGGCTTAACCACACTAGCTCTTTTGCCACTCAGCTCTGGACGTAATTGTAGTGAGGTACGCCCATTTGGGGCTGAGTTGCGGTAGATCCGTCCACAAAAGTCCTAGTGAGGATGCCCGGATTCGGGATGTTTTCTTTCTGAGTTGATCATGACAAGTGGCTCCTCCTTCGCTCCTTGGTAGCGTATGTGCGCCTGTGCACGAATGCGTGCGTTTGTGCTTCCGTGTTCGTTCCTTCTTGTCGGTGCGCATGTGAAATGAGATGGCAATTTCTACCGTACGATGGAGCTGCGTCCGTAGAACGTACTCGGTAAAGTATATCAGGGACAGGAATCAGCGATGCGGCAGACTGTCGAGGTGCTCATAGTCAGGAAGAACACAGGCGAATGGTTATTTCAGATTGCTTATATGGACACTGCATAGCCTTGGCAATACAGATTTCAAGATGCAGCCACTCCTAGGATGCAAGGAATTATTGAGTGCACCCTGGTCGCAGATCTCGATTGCAGAGCGGCTCCAACTCTGCCATCCTTAGGTGTCAAGTGTGATGCCGTACCTAGTCATTTAAATCAGACTTCCATCCTTATCCAAATGAGAAGGAGCTGGTCGTTTAAATTAGGTCTATCTTTATCAAACGAGGAGGAATTTACTACGGGCTGTTTCCCTTTTGACTTTGGATCTTAGTACCCAAAGTCTGTCTGCGTGATGCTCAGGTGCAAGTCTTTGGAGTTTCCTTGGGGTTGGTCAAGCTTTGGGGCGGTCCTGAATGTATCATTTACGTCCGTGTAACCACCTCACGGAGTATATCTTGCGTCTAAAGCTTTCATAAACTGGGAAATTCCGCTAACACGCCTCGATCGACACCAGAATGGATTTTTTTGGTAAAGTGTTTCGTCTAACTTCGGGTTCATTTCATTAGTTGATGGATGTTAAGTTGTTAACATGAAAGTTTGCTGCTGCAGAGAAAATCCCAGGACAGTGGGTATTGTTAGGGATGTTCCCTTTTTCCTTTTTCTTTTCCTTTTCTCTTTTTTTTTTTGTTTGATATAATTGGGCTTAGGGAGGAGTTGAACTTCTGATCCATTCTTATCAGGTACATCTGTGTGTGTACCTTTGACACACTACGCAGGTTCGGTAGTTGTTTTCACATGCTCGATTTCGTCAGTGCTAAAGCAAGGGTTCTTGTAATTGTGAAGTCGTTGATTGGTGTCGAGTGCCATGTTTCTGTCATGTTGCTCCTGCATGCATATGACGGTTTGTAAAATGCTTTATTATGGCAAATGCAGGAGGACTGAACGTGTTATGGCTGATGTGTCTTGCGTGGGCATGTCGTTGTGCGTCCAGTCAGCTTTTCAGATGTGATGGACATGCATCATGGACGGTCATTTGATATGGGCCACAGTCACCTGAGCAGTTCGGCAGTTGAAGAGGAGCCGGAAGAGCCCTTTGGACTGGGGGATGACCTGGACGCTCAAAACATTCAGAAATTTCTGCCGGATGATGAAGAGGAGCTGCTGGCAAATGCGATGGATTTTAATTTGAATCTCAGTGGCAATGGGAGTGAAGAACCAGACGATTATGACGTCTTCCCGCTTGGCATTGAGCTAGGAGAGAATCTGAACGGTACAGCCGGTCAAGCTCAAGACGGTGATGGATCAGGATCTCGCATACACACGGGCCCGTCTGCGTCAAGTTCCGTTGTTGGGGAACACCCTTACGGAGAGCATCCATCAAGAACTCTCTTTGTCCGCAATATCAACAGCAATGTAGAGGACTCGGAGCTGAGAGCTCTATTTGAGGTATTCGCTTCCAGCGCTGTAATCTCAGGGTTTTTTACTTCTTTTTGTTTCAATTTCCCCCCTCTTCTCGGAATATCGGCAATGGTACTTGCCAATGCACTAGCGCTGGTGGTCATCAGAAGTGCTCACTGGTTTTGTTGTCTTCGTCTTCTTTTTCTACTTTCTTGTTTGGGTTCCATTGCCCTGTACACACAAGACAATCCTTGTGGATTGATGAACACTGGCCACACAAGTTTGATTGTATCCCGTAGGTTCCAGTCCGTTCATTTCTCAGAGAATTTGCCGAGCATGAGGGCGTGCTCACGGTAATGCCCTGCACCCATGGCCCCATCCAAAGCAGAGTAGTTTGTGACGTGCGTTTGGTAAAGCTGTTAAAGTGCATGACTGCCTGCGAGGTCATGTAAAGCAAACTTGTTAGGGTCGCTTTCAATTGTATGGCCAACGGGTGGGGTGTGTGCTGTTGCATTCACGAGTATGATGGTCAAGTAAGGAAGAAGGGGGCACTGGCTCAAGGCAGGTACGAACTGCTCTGAAGAGATGGCTTTTGTGTCTTGCTCTCCAATGAAATTCTGAGTGTAGGTTGGAGTAGCGCTGGTCTTTTCTGATGACAACACAATATTGAGCCTTGCATTGTGCAGTCTTTTTGAAAATGTGTATGGGATTGATTCCGTTGTATGTTGCACGTTTGCCCTTACACGTGCTATCGTTTCCCTCTATCTTTGCGCTGCTGTTATTTCAGGCCCACGGTGCAATACGGACATTGTATACGGCCTGCAAGCATCGTGGCTTTGTGATGATCTCTTACTATGACATCCGAGCCGCAAGAAATGCAATGAGGGCCTTGCAGAACAAGCCTCTGCGTAGGCGGAAGTTGGATATACACTTCTCTATTCCCAAGGTATGTGTGTGGCCAATGACAGACTTTTCGTGGTAGCTTTTCACGATAGGAGGTTTGTGCAATGCGGCTGAAAGGGGCTGAATGTTTGTTGATGTCTTCTGAAATTGGTCCACCGTTTTGCTTGGCCTGTCATCGTCTGTCTACTATGTATTGTTTCGTCCTGATATAGTGTGTGAACCCGTGTGGGAATTTTTTCAAAGATCTTGATTTCCTCTCTTTTCCTGTTGTGTGTCTCCTGTGTTCTGTTTCATCTTGCTGGCAGCTTGTATGTGAGGTATTGACGGACATCCCCTGGTTGCGTCGCACAACATCTCCTTGTGTGGGAAGCTAGATGTTTATTCAATGAGCATGACAATCACAGCAGTTTCCTGGTTTGCGACAGCCACTGTTCCTACTGTCCTTTCCATGTAGTGTCTGTCTTGCCCAGCATCCGCTGGTGTGGGGGTGGTTGAATGATTTTCAACGACCATAGCAATCAGAACCCTCGCCTGGTTTTGTAAGAGCCGTCAGCACTGCTTCTATTTGTATCTGCTGCAACCCGGAATTATGATAATGTGCTCTGCATGCACGGCGCTCTGGAGTTAGAGAAACTTGACTTCCTTGCGTCATTAAGTGGGGGAGTGACTTGTATGGTGTGGGGCTATGCACAGTAGCAATGTGTTCCACAACAGAATCTCAATGAGATGGTGAAGCATTAACGGTCTATGATTGAAATCGATCCTGTGTTCGTGTGCTTGGTTTCAAAAAAAGATCGAGTGCTATGTTCTCTAGTGAGGGTTGGTTTCAAAAGAAGATTGGATGGAATGTTCTGTAGTGAGGGTTTGCGATTGGACGAATGTATGATGATGCTATTGAACCCCGAACGCGAGCTGTCATTTTTTTTTTTCTGGCAGGAGAATCCATCAGACAAGGATGTGAATCAAGGCACATTGGTGGTTTTCAATCTTGACGCATCTGTCACGAACGAGGAGCTTCGACAGATATTCAGCCAGCATGGCGAAGTCAAAGAGGTGTGATATTTTCCACTGTTTCTCCCTCTGGTCAATCTACTCTGTGTTGTGATTTGGATCAGAAATTGCTGATGTGTGATGTTTGCCATTGCTCTCGTGCTGGCTACCGCCTTCACCCGAATAGAACGCCCGGTCATTATAGCTGTATTTGGCCCAACTTTCAGCCCAGATACTGCGATAATTACTGGGTGTTCTATTCGGGTGAAGACGGTAGTAAACACTGTGCTGTCATCTAGGTTAGAAGTCGCTGATACAATCATGGTGCCAGAGATGATGTGCCCAGGTATGTGAAGGGCAGTATGATCTGGGGTTCTCCCTACTGGTGCTATGCTGTTGGGGCAACTCCTTGTTAATGGTTTCCATGTTACAAGTGGAGAAGTTTGTTTCAGGGATCATTGGCCTTGGGAGGCTATTTGGGCAGGGGTATGAGACTTGGCAGCCCAGGTGGATCGACAGTAGTCGAGTGAGGAAAATGGGTAGTCTGTGCATTCGGTGGAGGAATGGTATGTGCGATATTCTTACATGAGGCAGTTCCAATTTGCAGATTCGGGAGACTCCACACAAGAGGCACCACAAGTTCATCGAGTTCTATGATGTGCGGGCGGCGGAAGCAGCTCTAAGAGCACTTAACCGGAGTGATATTGCTGGAAAGAGGATCAAGCTCGAGCCCAGCCGTCCCGGGGGTGCTCGTCGCAAGTAAGCTCTGTCGCAGACATCTTTCTCTCCGTCCTTCCCTTTCGTGCTTCCCCCTCGCTGTCTGACTGATCATGACAATATGCGCAAAAGATGTGTGATATTTGACCCTTTTGACACAGCCCATCGTTTGCTGAACCATCCCGGGACATCTGTTAAAAAAGTTAAAACTGGAATGATCCAGAGAAGATTAGCATAGCCCTGCACGGAGGGGTGGGGAGGCTAGCAAAAGAGCTGTGAATGCCCGTGCCTAAGCACCGGAGGTTATTTTAGCCTATGTTAAATGACCACGGCTGCTATGCCGCTCAGCACATAAGAATACATCTGTTTCTTGCATTTGGTGAGCAATATTATGCTTGTTAATAGCTATTCATCCATTTGTGAAGGTTGAGGGATTTTGAGGAGAGTTGTAAAACCCCTTGTAATGGTATACAGGAAAAATCTCACCTTATGTATGATCTTTTCATGCAATGTGCGAAGGCTCACAATTCTTTGTAAAGCTACTAAGTTCGCAGATGTCTGGGTGACCCACATTGATGCTCGGAGAGAGGAAGTGGGTTGTCAGCGCAAGGGAACAGCTTTTACTGTGATCTTCTGTCTGTAGCGAGAAGAAAATTGTGTTTTTGTTGCATGCAAAATCTTTCTTTTCAATTGTTAGATTCTCTTTTTCACATTCAGACTGATTCAGTGCATCAATTAGCTGTGGTATCTGCCGAGGTTCAGTTCTTTGACAGGGAAGTTGTGCTCTCCCGTTGAGGGCTCGAATGCCCCACTGCGCTGATGGTGAATTCTCTGGATGAGGAAAGTTAATTCATAGTGCAATGGATTGCACTTCGGTAGCTGTTTACGAAAAAAGTGGAATGTATCGTGTTTCGGTTTGTAGGGGAGGCCGAGGAAGTGTGTCTCTTCTTCAGTCTTTTTTCTTTTTACTCCCTAAACATGCGGCGCACTGTCCTGCATAGGGAATGCATAGCATGTCCTTGTGAAATTGAGACAACCGTGTGTTGTGTTCACTGTGCATACCCCTGAACTGTTGAAATACAGATCTGAGTTCGAACTCCACTGGAAGAGAAGATGAATGAAATACTACAATTCTGAACTATCTAGGGACGGTCAGTTGGATGATGATGTCTAAAGGCTGTTGTTCTTTTAAAAACTAGAAAAGAGTGGAAAGGAAAGGAAAAAAGAAATTAGGAGTTGCGTCCACTCTGCATACCAACGTGGCATTGGGTAGAAACAAATACAGATTGTGTGCAGGATGATTGTCTGGGAGTTCTCTTAGAAATAGAGCGCACAGGTCAGGGTAAGGCAAATTACTTTGAGAAATCATGCCACTAGACTTCGTAAATGAAATCGACGAGAACAAAGGCTTGCACCTCTTTTGTGTTGCGTGTATGGCTTTCTTGCAAGTTTCAATATCAACAGGATTCCTTTTCTGGAAGACATTGTTCCCTTTTCTTTTGGGGTTTGGAAAAAAAAAGGCCCTTCAGAAGCTGATTTGAGAACTAGAGAATTTTCTTAATTTACTCCACGCTGCTCACTGAGAACGTGTTCCGGAAGATGAACACGTTTTCAGGATTGTGAAGGAAGTTATGGCATTTACAGTTGCAAAAGCAAAGAGCACTTGCAGTGGGCAGGCATTTACATGAGTGACGGAGGGGGAAAGGGGGAAGGGAGAGAAGAGGAGAAACAGACTAGTGCCGGGAAAAGAAGGTTGGAAGGTAGGTAGATAACTAGAAGATGGGGGAAGATACGCCTTGGGATGGCTGAGGGACGGATGGGAGAGTTATGCGCTCACAGCCATCTTTCTGTGTGCAGTCTTATGCAACAGCTTAGTGCGGAATTGGCCGAGGAAGAAACCCTATCACAAAGGGGAGAGTGCATGTCGGTGCCAGGGAACTTCAGGCAATCGGCATGCCTGACACCAAAGTTGTGGGGGGCCCAAGTGGAGGTGGGTGGTTCTCGCAGCATTCCTTATTCTCATTCACCGTCCGCTTCTGTTGGCACTGCGTTCAGCAGGCCTCCTCATGCCTCGTCGCCTGTGAGAATAGGATCTGGGATAGGACCAGGGAGTGCTCACGGTGGTGGTCAGCAATTGGGCCAGGGGATCTCCATGACTGAGGGTAGTCAGTCGCTCGGAGGTTTTGCCTCCAGCCGCCTCCCTCCACATCCTCATGCTCAGTCTTTGCCTGAGTATGGCAACAGTGCTGTGAGTGGCAGCGCCAATGGCAGTGGCTTCATTCGGCAGCGCATTGCACAACAAGGATCGTCTTCTTCCAGTGCACAATCGGCAGTCACGGCTGCAGCTATGGTTGCAGCTCTTCGATCCCGCGAGTCACTTGATGGTGCCCGTCTTCACCCAGCTGGTAGTGGTGTCATGGTGGGAGGTCGTGGTGATGGAGGCGCCTTTGATCACAGTAGTTCCGGTAAGCACCTACTCTTCCCCTACTTACTCCTGTTGGTTGTGCCTCACAATTTGCACCACTTGTACAGTCTTTTCAAGCTCTACAATCTGCAGTTCCCCCTGTGTTCTGTCTTGCAACTGTAAAACTACCATAGGCTTTTATGTTGCAAACATGCATGTTTCTTGGTTCAGCAGCCATTTTCCTTGTTTGTCAGGCGATCTGCCATTACGTAATATTGCATTTTGCTGTCTCTTTGTTTTTCTAAATCAAGGACTTGCACTCTTTTATGCAGCTAGGCCTGTTGCAGATCCCTTCTTCCTGACTGGATTTGCTGCCTTTTGTGATGATATTTTTCTTAGTGGAAACCGATGGTGTGACTGCTGTGACATTCCGGCCACTGATCCACATAAGGACATAAGATTGCTCTGCAGGGACTCTTTATGTAATCAATCAGACTCCTTTCAGTTCTCAGGGTATGGTTTCTCTCTGACTCCCCTGTAATTGCTTAGTATTGATTTGTTGTTGCCTTACATGTAATGCCGATATGTGGTCGCTCCTTGCTGACTCAAGCTTTAATCCAATTCCGTTATTCGGGCAATGGTGGTGTTGTTGGTCCATGGTGACTAAAATTGCACTCCACTTCTGTTTCTGCTGCATGTCCTCCATCTTTGCTCTTCTATGCTCTTTTGTCGTTTATCTCCTTTTCTATCTTCTCTCTTTCATCCTGCTCTCATGACTTTGCTCTTCTCTCTTCCCCTTTGTGTGTCTGTGTGTGTCTGTGTGTGTGTGTCTGTGTGTGTGCGTGCGTGTGTGTGTGTGTGCGTGTGTGTGTGTGTGTGTGTGTGTGTGTGTGTGTGTGCGTGTGTGTGCGTGTGTTTGTGATGGAAAAGCAGTGCTTGGCCCCCCTGTGGGAGCACCCCTACTGTACCCTCCGGGCTCTGCTGCTGCTGGATCACCGTCCGTATCAAATCCATATATCTGGGGACCTGGGGCGTTTCATCACCAGGTACGCCATGTGCTTTGCATTGTTGCTTTCCTTGAACGCTCTTGTTCTGACTGCTGCTACAGCAGTTTTGGGGACTCCATGGGAATTCGGGTGGTTCTCCGTTTGAAATTTGTTATGTTTCCTCTTATAATACTAGGATTGGAAATGATTTTCAACAAGTCGTTCGATTGGCCGAAGAATATGTTCAAGGAGCTAAAAAACTCCTTTGGCCGGGGTGTGTCCAAGGAGCTAAAAAACCCCTTTGGCCGGGGTGACCGCCTGGTCCAATGTGTGTTCTTTTAGTCCAAATCCGAAATGTAAAGTAGGAATGGAAGTGTATTAAAAGTTTGATGGGAATTCTTTTTCCGTTCTTGGATTTGATGTATGCTTGAACCATAGTACCTCCGCCAGTGTTCGGTAATTAGGTGAAAGTGGACGTTTTTCCAAACTCCTAAAAATTCGGAGGGCGGGCCCGACGGCGTCTGCCATTGACAAATTTGATCGGCGGCACCCGAGGCCCACTATTTTCCCACGCGGCAAAGGTACTAGTGGTATAACGCAGTTAAACTGACTTAATATGACTTGTGCGGTGGGATATGGACCGTTTTTCGGGTGAATCTTAGACTGTGGATAATTTTATGACTGATCTCTCTCTCTCTCTCTCTCTCTCTCTCTCTCTCTCTCTCTCTCTCTCTCTCTCTCTCTCTCTCTCTCTCTCTCTCTCTCTCTTTCTCTCTCTCTCTCTCTCTCTCTTTTCTCTCTCTGTGGCTTATCTTATTCTCTTTCGGTCTGTGCAGAACTCACCCCCTATGGTGTGGTCGCATGGGCCAGGCCATCCCCATAGCTTTCATGGCCAGGGGTACCTTCATTCGTCAGCGCATGGTGTTGGTCATCCCCTTTCACAGTAAGTATCCCTGCTTCGCTGGTATTGTTCACCCCTGTGGGCCTGATGACTTCGGAGGACTGCAGTTCTCCTAGACTGGCTTCCACAGACGGGAGTTGTCCTAGGCTTTGAGCAATCTTTTTTAAATGTGGGCCATGTCTGTGCTATTTGAATGGGTGTATCTGGTTCTTGGTTGAGAAGCTAGGCTTAACAGAGTTACCTGGCCTGTTGGGAACGCTCGAGGTGAAAATGCGGCCCAAATTTGCGGAACAAAATCAGACTCGTGCTAGCCCTGGGCAGAGAGATGGTTATTGGAAGGCCCAAAATTCGGGGTTTGTCGTCGCATCATGACAAGCAATGTCGCTGAAAATTTCGTGAACAAACAATGCAGGCTCGTGATACAAACATTATATATAAAAAAAGGGCAAAAAAACCCGGAAAACAAACAAACTTGAAAGCACCTTTAAAACCCTATTTGGTGAAAAATTCGACGAAAATGACACCACCTGTTAACCATTAGTGTGTCAGAAGCCACAATTAAGCCTCTTTGAATTGGGTGATGGTTCACCTTAGGGGAAGGCTCAAACCACCAGTACACTTGGGCCTGGAGGTGCTCCACTGTGCACCGGGCTTTTTACGGAATCGCCAGCTGTGCGCTTCTTTTCTTTTTTGGCGGGCACCGCCGGCCATGGTGGTCCGGTAAGGGCGAACCATTGCTACAGTGCGGTGGTGACGAGTTGCTTTTTCTGCAAGTTTGGGGCAATGTACGGCGGTGTCAGAGGTATGACTGGGGTTTAAACGCCACTGCCTAGAGGCCTGTGGTGGTGGTTGTGTGTGACTTGTTTTTCTGAGTGAGCGTGACTCTGATGAGTTTTCATCCTCCTACGCGATGATGGAAATTCTGAAAAAAAGAACAGGTGATCTCCTAGGGTAAAAAAAAAAAGAAGAAAAAAAAGGATGGAAAAAATAATAAAAATCTTGGCGGGGTGACAAGTAGGCCCAAAACTTTTGAGCTCCGTGCTCCAGGGTTAGGAGAACCACAGTTCGACAGATCACGTTTGGGGGCAGTGGTAGCTTAAAGCGGGTGTGCAGCTGTGTCCTTCGATTTATTAGATTACTTTTTCCACTAAGGTGTTTGAAGCGACTGCCAGTCGAGAAGTTTGTTTTGGAATTGTACACAACCTAGTTTTTTTCCATATCTTTTTTGATACTTTGCCTGCTTCTGTCTGTCCCGGGGTCTGCCTGGGACCTTGGCCGGACCTGGTCTAGCTTGAGCCATTTCGGTGCTTTCCCCAAGAGGCCGAGGGATCCCTGCCTGGTAGCCCTGTTGGCTGTTGATTAAGAAGATGGATGTCTGCAGGCCTCTGAAAGAGTGTGAATGCCTCGAATTGAATTTGGGCGCAGGCAGGCAGATTTGTCCACCAAAGGCCAGGGCGTTAAACTGCACACCTTGCTTGAACGCTGGTGCTTTTAAAGTGTACTTTTTTTTTTTTTTTTTTTTTTTTTTAAAGCTCCATCTATTGGTGGGGAGCTGCACCTGCTGGAAACCGGGTCCAGCGTCCCTCACATTATGAAAGTTAACAGAGGATAGAAGAACAAATCTCAGTGAATCCTATGCTGGAAACCGGGTCCAGCGTCCGACTCTTACTGACTTCAATAGCTTGGTCCTAAACCATTCTACAAATATTGAATGAAGAGTACTACTAGCCATGGGGAAGCCTCTTCAGTCAGAATTCTGACTGCCTGATGGAAAAATTAAACCTAGCGTCCTCCAATTACAACCCTGTCTATTCGTAATCCTATGTCATGTACTCCCCTCCTCCAAACCACTCAAGATCCACCATTGCTAACGGAGCGAGAGGGAACGGATCAGCAAACAGTTCAGGCGCTCCCAAAAAAGCCCCTGGTTGAAAGTCAAACGAATTCTGAAAGTTAATCTGGTAATCTTGTTTGATCCTCCCCTGTTCCTCTTTCTCCCCTGGCCATATTATTTCTCCCAATTTCTCCCCTGCTGCTTCCCCAAGCCATTCCAATTGAAACTTCCATATGTCTTGTTTTATGTCTTCTTTTTGCTTGAATTCCTTGAGCTTTGTTTTCTTTCTCTCCCACTGGCCTCTTAGTTCCGTTTGGACAAAGCTTTTTATTATTTCTGAAACCTCTGAACTTTCTATCCTAACTTCTTCCATTTCATTAATACATCGTTTGTGCCACAAAGCCCACAATATCGCTTTCCTTCCTAGATGAAAGAAGTTGTGTTGAAATTCTGATAATTCTATTAATTGAGGGTTCCAATATCCTAATAAAATTGCTCTCCATTCCCAGGGCCAATCCAGGCCAGTAAATCTTCGCCACACATAGTCCCATCGTCTCCATAACAAGACAGCCCCTGGGCATTGCAAAAAGATATGTTCAATTGTTTCCCTGATTTTCCTCTTAGGGAAGGCCCTCACACAAGATTTGCACCATGGCAACGCCACCCCTTTTTGCTCTAATGTGGAATGATCT